AACTGGTGTAGTTGCACTACAAAATATGCTGGTTTTAGCAGCAGGTGAATCTGGTGTGATAAAACTAGAGCTGGCAATCGATGCGTTCTGGTTGGAAGATAAATCTTTTATAGATACTGGAGGAAAAAGCTTCTATTGGGATTTAGTGCTTGGTGCAATTAAACTCCTCACCCTCCCTATATCAAATGCGACGGCTGAAAGAGCTTTTTCACAAGTTGCTAAAAGACAACTCCAGAAATCGCATCAGCCTGCAGATGCTGTCCAGTTTGATGGATGTACGAACTGGAATAAGGCGGACATCAGCAACATTCCGTCCTCTCCGAGATTTCATTCAACCGTGTACTGATCACAAATCACAATGGATTGTTTTATAGTTCACCGAGGTAAAAGTTCAGCGTTCAGATGTTCCAGCAAACAATCTAATAAGCTTTGAAGTTAAGAATTCAAAATGAACCATAATAAATGTAATGATTTCAGTTATGTAAAAACTGTTAAAAGAGGAGTAGGTAACGTGGTTGTGAATCCATCTGCAAACATGTTAGTACCGGTATGTGATGTGTCACATGGCACTGGATCTAACATCTCAGTGCAGATTTTGGATTGTAGCGTTTTGACATGCAGTGTTGAATTCAGTTGTACTCAAGTGTGTTCATGTTCACAAAGTGAATATAACAATATATTTATTGGGATGGTTGTTGTGCGATGTGGCGGTTTTTAAGAGATGTTTGGGCTGGAAAACCTCGACTCTACTGTATGTGGAAACACTGCGTACATGTAAATGTGATACCAAGAAAGGGTTCCTCAACTAATAACACAAGAGTTCAACATGGGTTATTGTGATTAAAAAAAAAACCTGTTGGTTGGAAACTTGTATTTTGAGTGACTAAAGCGGAGAGCAGAGCTCCTAATTAGGAGGGAGTCTCCATAGAAACCAGTGACTCAGCATTTACCAGCTTTCTGGAGTTAAAAGCTACTTGGAAAATAGCCTTTTATTTCTGAAACTGATCAATAACTAAGATCAAAATTCCTAATAGTGCTAGCAGGATTAGGTTTGTAAATATTCATACCAATAAAATTTCCCCATTAAAAAAAATTAATTATGATAAAATCCAAAAAAATCTTTTTTTTTCTTTTCTGTTTTTTTTTGTGTTTGTTTTTTTCTTTTCTGTTTGTTTGTTTGTTTTTTTCTTTCTTTTCTGTGTTTTTGTTTGTTTGATTTTTTTTTCTTTTCTGTTTTTTTTTGTTTGTTTTTTTTTCTTTTCTGTTTTTTTTGTTTGGTTTTTTCTTTTCTGTTTTTTCTTTGTTTTTTTTTCTTTTCTGTTTTTTTTCCTTTTCTGTTTTTTTTTTCTTTTCTTTTTTTTCTGTTTGTTTTCTTTTCAGTTTTTTTGTTTGTATTTTTTTTTCTTTTTTCTTTTTTTTTTTTTTTCCCGTTCCGTTTTCTAAGCTCCAGAAAGGGAAGACTCCCTTTGTCGTCACAATAGGCATCTGAGCAATATCTTATCTCCAAACCCATCAACTGCAGCTTTTACAGGAAGCTGTAATGAACTCAGAATATTAGACCTAGAATTCAAGGAGAGTCAGGCAGTGGAACAGTTCGAAGCTTTTATTTAAAACAAACAGGAACGCGGGGCTGCTCGTCAGCTGCGGGGCGAATCTCTGCAGAGATAGGAAATACAGGTTAGTGACTCGATGTGGGGCTGATCACTACTAGAAGCAAAAGTCACTGACCTGATTCAAAGTCCAGTCTGATCCCAGAGTAAATATTCCAAATGGGAGGTTAATCCCTAGTTTCTAGAGATAGAGAGAGAGTTCCTAGAGACAGAGAGAGCAGAGCAGGCACCAGCCGATGCCGAGCAGCAACAGTGTCCATAAGGGGAAATCCAAAGCCGGAGTCAGAAGACAAGTCCACGTTTAGAAGCCGGTAGAATCCAGGAATCAGTCCTGAACAGATCAAACTAACAGAGCAGACAGGGGAAAAGCAAAAGTCGGGATCTACTGGGCAGAAACTGGTCACAATCAGGAAAAACAGAATTCAGATCACTAGAGTTAATCTCACCAAACTGTTCAAATAACCTGGCACTGATGGAAGGCAAGCAAAGAACATAAATAGCAGAAGAACCAGGTAGAAATGATCAGAGTTAATCAGCTGCTGGACCAATTAGACAGGTGAGCAGGAGAAAATGAAAAAAACGAACCATCAGCACCAAGAACACAACAGAAGCAGTGCTTACGATTCAACGCCCATAACTTTCACTGTGTTTTATTGGCAAGTTTTAGCTTACTACTAAAATGTGTTGTTCACTTAGAACGGCTTTAAACTGTGATAAACACTTTAGCAAACCAAACTTTTATATATTTTTAATGAAATATTGAACTATTCTAACATCTGAGTTGATCTATGTGCTCCTCAGGCCAAGTAGGATGTATGTACCACACTAAAATGAGCAACGGATGAAGAAGGAGGCCAGAGGCTAATCTAATCCACAGATTTTCTCTCCTCAAAAGAAACAACAAACAGGAAATGAACCCTAATCTTAGTGCTCCAGTGACTACCTAAAATTGCTCATCTTTATTAATAAGATCAAAAGATGGGGGGGGGGGGGGAATTAGCTCTTGTTGAATCTAACATCTTGTTTTCATTAGTCAAGGTAGTACCTTTGACATTTTATATAGAATTAGCTAAACAGTAAAGATGTATGGAGTAAATTATGTTTAATTATTATCACAAGCAAAAAAACATGATTTTTAAAATTGAAATCTGAAAAAACAAAGTTTTTATATCAAATGATTATTGTTCCGTTATTATTGCAAGCAAAGAAAATGTTTTTAAGTAGGAATTTGAAATAAAAAAATGCCTTATGGAGTGAATTTTGCTCCATTATTGTGGCAAGCAAGAACACATTTTCTAAATGATGATTAGAAATATTTTTAAAGAAGAGCCCTGTATAGAGTCAATTTTATGCCATTATTTTTTGCAAACAATGTACAACAATGCACGTTTTTTAAATGGGAGTTTGTAAAAAAAAAAAAAAAAAAAAAAAGTGCAATCCATAAATAAAACTATTCTAAGATTTATTTATTTTTTATTCTTTAAATTTTTCAACTTTTGTTTTATTCAAAATTCTCTATTTCAGATTGAGCTGTATAAATTGTGATATTTTCATAAAATGTTTTACAGATCAGTCTCATCACTTCAAGCCCAATACAAGTATCTTACATTCACAGATAAAATGTGGTTGCTAAAAGACTAAAAGAGAAATGCGTCTTTTCGTCTCACTCCAAAAGAAAGCCCGCCCCCTGAAATAAAGAGAATGGGATCCATAAAATGCAATGTAAAAAGAATGCAACTCATATGACTCAATCTAAAAGAGAAATTTCAAAATGTAAAATCTCTAGAAAAAAAAAGAAGAAAAGAAAAGACAACATAGAAAATATATAACATATTTCTTGCCATATGATGGAAAAAATAATGGAAAAATAATCTTAATACTGATTTGAGACCCTGCTTGGGTAAAGGTATTTTTGGTAATGGTTTTCTGCACACAGTGTGCTTGTGTTCACCAAGTGCTAATTCTAATGCTCAAGCAAAATACCTACTGCATATGGGTACAAAATTAGCTGAAAAATGGTCTTAGTTATGGTTTAAATTATGATCCCACATGATGACCTAGATTGGTTTAATTAAAACTACACAAATGGAACCCGTATAGATTCTGACTGCGATGCTCAATTAAAATGAGAAATACTAGTTTTATCTTTAGCCTTGGCTTACAGACCGTAAACTAAATCAGTTTGTGTTCCACATTCACATTCATGCTATTATAGTTTAAACTGATAATACTGGACTAAAAGGAGAAACAATGCATCTAAACAGTGGTAAGCTATTATTATTATTATTATTAGTCTAGGATCTGTTACGTGCTGTTTTAAGTGAATGCATGTGATTTTGAAATTGTTTAGTTTTGCATTTGAGTATATATTGTCAACCATGGCAATAAGGTTTTACTCTCATTCACATTCATATAATTTAATTTAGCCTTTTAAAGATAAGGAAAAAACAAGTAGAACTATACATTATTTAGATATCCTTATATTTTTACATTTGGTTTCAATTGTTAAGTAAAAGTTCAGAGGTTAAGATAGGAAAACATTAGGTATAATGGCATTTTGTCTGCAAAGAGAGTAACATTAAAATATGTAATTTCCTGCGATGTACCTTCTGCTTACCTTGTTCACATGTCGATTGTCTCCAATCTTTTCTAATAAATCAGCCTCCTTCCTGTTTGCAGAATCTTAATGCTTGTTTTGGCGCCTTAACCCCCCCACCCCCCACCCTACTGCCCTCCCAGATAATCCTTTCACACTCTTTAATGTCAACAGGATGCTCTGCTTTCCACCTCTTTACAATCCCAAAGCTACACAAATCTGTCTTTCTTCGTATCTTGGAACATGATTTAACTCCTTCATCCTTTGGCTGAGCCCCAGCGGGCCGATCCAAGAATTAAACAAATCTTAAAAACTGCTCACAGGAGCAGTTGGTCTACTTGGCACCAGACTCAGAGTAAAAGCTTGTAGTCAGTGTTTGGTGCAAAATGACTATCCCTGCAGTTGCCTTGGATACTCTCCTTCCGACCTCTGGAGCTGCTTTTATTAGTCTGTTGTGCTATTGAGGTTTTCCTTGCTGCGTCAATGTTCTTTTCTCAAAGAGGAAGGTTTCCAGTTTCCAAGAATGCAGAAACATTAAAACTCATTCATTGAGATTATTATTCAAATTCACAAAAGACTATGTTGGAGCCATTGCCCTTAATTTGTGTTTTACAAGAGGAAAGCTTAAGGTGTGGAAGACCATAATATGATTTAAGGCTGATCAGATGGGATTTGGATGCCTGAGCTTCAGGTTGTGGGAAAATTAATTAGTCTCAGGGATGCTTCTGTGGATATCAAACTATTGTTTTATGACTCTAATGTTTATTTCCCCTCATCTCTCATGTTTATCACAGGTCTGAGCAGACGGTTCAGCTAAAACTTTTTCCTGGTTCGATAATCACTTTCGAGCTCAGGTAAGTTATATTGTTTTTATTAATTAGAAATAGATTTCTTCTCTCCTGAGAGGTCACAGGTACATAATTTCAGTTAGCTTAATAAGGAGTAGATTGAATAATAAATAGTGTTATTTTAGTGTTTGAGAAATTCTTTATCTCTGTGGCAGCACTACAGCACCACTCACAGGCGTGGCATAGGTATTACAGCACCTACCTTACCTCTTTTTGCCTAACGCTAATTTGGTCTTTATGGTCAAATTCTTCTTCGTGGTTACCATCTTTGTCTCCACGTGGACTCAGCTTTAGACCACTGCGCATAACTTCATGGAGTAGCAACGGATTGTTTCGTGCGCACTATAGCTCCAGTAATGTGCTATTCAAGAAGAAAAAAAAGTAATGGAGAAGGAACTCCATTTTATTTGGCTTTCTATTTCTATTTCTTATTTTTTTTAAATGTAGTTTTATGCTTGCACCTTTTAACTACTTAACAGTACATCTCAAAATCAATAAAGTCCTTTTTTGTTTTTCATCTTCTCCTCTATACAAATGTACAACTCTTACAATACACCTTTACCTGTCTTCCTGCTTTTGATATACTGTGATGGTCATGCATTCACATCGCAAGGGAACTGCTCAAGGGTCAAAATAAATGGTACAGAGACAATGAAAGACATGCAAAGGGGACAGTTCACTTTTCCTTTTGAGAATCCAGGACTGGTTTATACCTGCTTGATCCACTCAAGATACTGAGCCGTGGCTGGGTAAAAGGTGTTACAATACTTTGGTGTTAAAGCATAGTTCAACAGACAATAGCAAGCAGAATTTATAAATCCCAGCTTGCAGGATTTATAAACAGTAGCTAGAGAAATTACAAGCCAGCAGGATTTATAAACAATACTGTGATTTGTTACATTGTTTCTTAAAGGAATTGTAACCATTGGCTGGAGATGTTACAAGCCAACATTGTTTATAAACAGAGCCCCAACCAACAATGAAGCGCAATGTTTCTTTATAAATGCTGGCTTGAGATGTTAATGGCCAGTAGTATTTATAAATTGAAGGTGAGTTAGAAACATTGTTTCTTGAAGGTGCTATTAACAGAATCTGGAGATATTACAAGCCAACTGTGTTTATAATTATAGCTATGATTTAGACACATTGCTTCTTGCAGGATTTATAAATGTCAGCAGATGATATTAAAAGCCAAACGTGTTTATAAACAGAGCCCCAACAATAATTAATGTCATTTTCTTGAAGGATTGATGAATATCTTGTGACATTTCAAGCCAACAGTACTTGTAAATACAACCGTGATTTAGACATATTGTTTCTTGCTTAGATTCGGTACAAGCCAATAGTGTTTATGAACAAAACTTTGATATAGATACATTGTGTCTTGCAGGATTTAGAATCATGAGCTGGAGACATTACAAGCCAACAGTGTTTATAAACAGAGCCCCAACCAACATTAAGGCACAATACTTCTTACAACATTTATAAATATCAGCTTGGGGTGTTATGATTCAACTGTATTTATAAACGAACAATGGTTTAGACACATTGTTTCTTGCTGGATTTATAAACATGAGCTGGAGATGTTTTAAGCAACATTGTTTATAAACAGTTTTACCGAACTTAAAACCATCTGCTGGAGACATTACGAGGCAACTGTGTTTATAAACAGAGCTTCACCCAACATTAAAGCATAATGTTTCTATTGAGATTTATAAATGCAAACTTGAGACATTATGACACAAAAGCATTTATAAACAGAACTGTTATTTAGAAACATTGATTCCTGCAGGATTTATAAACACTGGCTAAAGATATTAAGAGGGTACAGTGTTTATAAATGGAACCTGTGACCAAGATTATGGTAAAATGTTACTTGCAGGACTTTTAAACGCAAGCTCTTGACATCATGACTTTTTCTAATCAGTGTTTATAAGTTTGGGCTGCTACCTATGATCACTGCTACCCATAGTCAGGGTTGAATCAGAAACAGGCCCACAGCATCACAGATGTTCTACCATTCTTAGAAGTGGGCTTCTAGCACTCTCCCAAGTGCAAGTCCTGTAAAAAAAAATATAAATATCCCTTACAGATTTTTTTTTTTATCTTAAGCAGTTAATGAATGCATAGAATTAACAGCTTCATTTTAAAGTCGGACCCTGATTTTTCAAGTAAAAGACAGTGATTTCAAATTTGTGAATAGTTTTGATTCACAAAACCTGACAAGTTCATTAATAAAAAGCTCTATCTGAGTTTTGCTGATTTATTTTTATCATTTTTTTTTATTATTGTTATTATTATTGTTATTATTATGCATTTAAGAGCATGATCAAAGTTTACTGGCAGCAGGGCTAAAATATTAATTCCTGCTACAATAGTTTCTTTTGCAATTATTGGGTTTTCTGCTCATAATAACTTTTCAGTCTGGTTTTCAAAGAAAAAATAAATACATTACCAGTTTTCATATGGTTGCAAAACCTTAGATTATTGAATGATGTAGCCGTATTACTTCTCCTTTCAAAAGAAAAAAAAAACAAGAACAAAAATATCCTGTACAAGCTCGGCCCACTGCCAGCTGGTTCATTCGGCTCCACTATTTCTGACATTTCACACTCACTTTTCCCATGACTCACAGGGGCTGAGGCGGTCAGCTATAAGTGGCTTCATTCAGACAGATGAACGGCTTGGCTCTTCCTGTGTGCATAATAGCGCGGGAATTGTCCTCCGTTTGGGTTGATGTCATGTTGGATATTTTTGTCCGACAAAAAGCAGTCATTAAGTTTAAACTCCAGTCTTAGCACTTAACCTCAGCTGGGGTTAAAGGGTCAGTAACATGAGAGGAAACTGTCTTCAGGGAACCTCCTTAGCTTTATTCTCTTTGGTTGAACATACAGGTGTTCTTTATAGATCTGATAGTCAGGGGAGAAAGGTTGATTTTGTCTTTAGAGGAACATTTATATGTTCGCCTGGACAGATATTTTGGATCACAAGCTGAAAGACCAAAGGAACAGCTAATTTTCAACAAATTAACTTGGTTTTTTAAAAAGTCCATGATACAAAGGGAACAGAAACAGCCCCATAGATTCATCGCCATTGCCTAACAGCGGGCAGGAGGCTTTCTTTCATATGTTCTTTTGAAAGTCCAGCCTGGTTTGTTTCAGCTCTAGCTGTTTTAAACTATTCTATTATTGCTTTGACTGTAAATTTGCCCAGCTTTAGAGAGAGGGGCATCTTTTTTGGAGCCTGACTAATAGAGAATAGCGGGTTCATAAACTATATGTTCTCAAGCGACTTAGAGGAATGGGCCTCTGTCCAGTCATACATACACCTGAGGGAGACGGAAGTTTTTAAGTAATATATTGACATTTAAGAATTCTTTTACGGAGTGAATTTGTTTCACTATGGTTGCAAGTTCAGAACATATAAAAAAAAAAAAAAAAAAAGTAATTTGAATACTTTATTACAAACGAAAAATGTACCAAGGGTAACTTTGCTGTTTTATCCGAGTTAAGGTTTTCAATTGATGGAAATTTTTTTTACAGACTTTGCATTTTCAATTTTTTATTAGATGAAATTTTTGAATGAATTTATTCATGAATCAGATTCTTTTCAAATTGTGGATTACAGATCACATTCTTTTTATTATAACCTAAATTTTATTATAACCTAAATTCAATAAACGCTTTTATTATAACCAATAAAATGTTGTTTCTAATGTCCATGCGGACCTATAGAAATGTGTCTTTTCTTCTTCCTCCAGAGAAAGACACCCCCCCCCCCCCAAAGAGAAGAGAATGTGATTCACAAAATACAATTTGAAAAGAAAACTATTGATAAAAATTAACTGAAAAATAAAACAAAGTATGTTTAAAATAATTAAAAAATAAAATAGAAAAGGTTAGATGTGGAGAAAATGAAAAACATAAAATATAAATGGTAAAAAAATAAAAATACAAGAAAGTAGCAAAGTTATTGCCCGGATATCTTTTTCTTTTTTTTTATAATAAAAGTTTAGCCAGTTTTAATTTGTGAATTCAATTTTTTTTCAAATTCCTGTTCTTTTCTTGCAACAAAAATGGAACTCCATATTCCTTGGGCTTAGCTAGATAATGCAAACAAAAAATAATCAATTTCAAAGAAATAGTTATTGGATCCTAAACTAAACCTAAAAGGACAAGTTAGAATCGCTTATTAACCTCATAAAGTGTGTTCCTCTGATTATTGTCTTATTGGTTTAATTAGACATCTGTAGTGTGTAAAAAAAATTCATACCTTATTTCAAAATGTGAGTTTAACATATGTTGCATTTCAGCAACATTCTAATGTGTGCTCACTTTTCACCATAATAGTAACGTCCAGATTACAGACATTTTCTTCTTCAGTGATTAAACATGGTCTACCTGAGAGAAATGTCAGCTCTGTCAAACTTCTGCAAGCTGTCACCAGCAGTATCGACTGGTTTAAATGGCTTGGCTTCCATTTCTCTCACCGCATTTAGGATGGGGCCCCGAGGCGGTCCCTCGTCCCGCAGGATCCTCTGACCTATTTCTGGATACATAACATGGTCAGAGTGGGTCTACTCGCTGCTGCTGACCTCTCTGACTCTGCATCATGATATCACCATGGGAACGGTGACATCACCACATCAATATCTAAAACATTTATTTTTGGGGCTTGATGATACAGAATTAATTTATAGAAGGAAAATATAAATTACTATCAAGCTGAGTTAAGATCATCATATCTTATCAGTTCATAAGAGTAAAATGAGTAGTGTAAAAGTGGAGGACATCCAAAACAGCTATCTTTGTAGCCAGGTTTGGCTGTCAAAGCGACAAAAGTCTGCAAGATGCAAAAAGTACTCTCCAGAAATCCTCAAAAATTATTGTAGGCCCTGCAGTGATGTTGGAGATTGGCCTCTTTTGAAGTGTAGTCCTGTTTCGCTGACTGTTACTGGCTCTCTTCAGCCTTTGGCATGAGAGCTGGCTCGGAGCGCGTCTGCCTGG